TCAGCAGCAGCGTGGAATTGTGTGATCCTGCAGAGCCACCAGACCAAGGGATGTGAAAGAGCACATGGCAGCAGGAGAGCTTGGGAGCTGAGAACTCAGAATCAGCCTTGCAGAGTTTTGTGAACAGGCTGGGTAAATGTAAACCAGGCTGGCACGGAGGGGAGATGGTTGTTGTGAGCTGGTGTGCCCTGCCTGTCCCTCCTGTTGGGTGCATTTCCAATAATGCCACTCGTCCTTCTTAGCATTCTCTTCAAATGCATCAGCCCTGCTTGGTTCTCAATAACACAGAAGAAAAACAACTGAGGAACCCTCCCTTCTGTTCCTCCTGGAGGTCTCGGATCTTCATCTTAGCAGGTTGCAGCTATTTTTTCTGAGTTCCTTTTTCCCTTCCCTACAGTTTCTGATGTCCAGTTCCTCACAGGCCTCATGGGCAAATGCCCTGGTGGTGTTCAGTACAGTTGTACATGTGAAACTTGGAGGTGATGAATAGAAAAACTGTTGAAAAGGAAAAAAAAAACAGAACAGAAACCAGAATTCCTGTAAACAGTCTGTTAAAATATCTTCAACACATGTCAGGGCCGATGATTTAAAATAGACAATTTCTGAGCGTTAAAAGGTCACATGGAGACATGATAGTATATTCAAATGGAGTTGAACAATGAATGTTTCAACAGTCACATCTTGTACTCTTGGCAAGATATCTGTGTTACCAGCTAGTGATGTTCAGGGAAAAAAAAATGAGTCAGATTGCAAGAATAATGAGCTTTTCTTGGATGATAACATAGAGGGGGAAAAAAAAGATTTTATACCTTAATCACATGTCTCTGGTAGCAAAAGCTTTAGGGAAAATGGTGATTCTGGGAGGCATAAAACTGCAGGGCCAGTCGAGGTGATGCAATAGCACAAACCCAGGGTTGTTTGTTTCCATGTGTGGCAGCGAAAAAATTAAAATCACAAATCCACATTCCCAATATTTTCTCATTTGTGACCCAAAGTACGGTGGGCATTTCAGAGGAGATGTGTGAAAAAGAGGGAGACTTTTCAAATGAGCACATGGTCTTTTGAGTATCTAATTGCTGCTGAAAAATTAATGAGACAGAGAGGAATGATTGTCTTTGAACACTGGAAATATTTCTTGTCCCCATCTGCTGCTGCCTTGGAACCGCTGCTGTCCCGTGGCACAGGGAGAGCTGTGCTGAGCTGTGCTGGCAGCCCCAGGGGCGTGAGGAGCAGCTGAGCCCTGGGGAGCTGCTGGCAGGAGACCCTGCACAGGGGTTTAGTGCTGGGTGGGCTTCCCCTGCAGCCCACGGAGCTGCACAACGGGATGGGGAGAGAAAAAATCCCAGCGGATAAGGCTGTGTGTCCTTTTATCCAGGGTTTAAAGGAGTGCTTGGTCCTGTTCCCAAGATTAGCAGGTGAAACACCAGGCGTGTTAAAACCTACCCTGCTCCTGCTTTGGACCCTGCCTTCGACATGTGTCTTCTCATCCCCCAAACCCACCCGACTCTGCTTTGGGATTTGGGCTATTCTCCATCCTTACTGCACTGCACTCTGCAGGTACCACCAGCGTCTCTCCCCTTCTCCTCGGGGCTCTCTCCGCTCGTCCTGCAGTCCATGTCTTTCCCCTTTAAATGCCCTTCGCCCTCTTTTTCTCCCAGACTCGGTGCCAGCCAATTTCTAGGGTTCCCACAGTTTTTCAGAGGAAGAAAGAACAGTTGTATGACTGGGGCTGTCAAAGGAGCTCTCTCCAGGAAAGGAGCGAATCCCAAACCATTATTCCCATTCCCTACGCGGGCACTTCCCCCCTCAGATGGGGATGCAGGACCTGTCCTGGTGCTGCGGTTCGGCCCCGCGGTTCGGAGCCGGCCCTGTGTGCCCGGGGCCGCCCGTGCCAGTGCGGCAGCGGCGTCACTCCGGGCACTGGGAGCGCTCGGAACCGGCACCGAGCGGGGCCGCGGGCCCGGCCGGAACCGGCACCGGCACCGAGCGGGGCTGGGGCCGGTGCTGGGGCCGGGGCTGGGGGCGGGCACGGGCACGGGCACGGCGGGCGGGGCGCGGTCCCCTCGCCGCCCCGTTCGCAGGCGGGGCCGGGGCGGTGCCGGAGCGGGGTCGGGCCGGGAGCGCGGGAGCCCCGCAGCCCCCGGGACCCCCCGGCCGCCAGCGCAGGTGAGCACCGGGCCGGGACCGGGGCTGGGGAGCGGGGCCGGGGGCTCCGGGGGCTGCGGGGAGCGCGGCCGGCGCTGCGGGGCCGCCTGCGGCAAATCCCGGCTCTGCTCGGGCTGCTCGTGGAAAAAGCGCTTCTGCTCCATGGAGAGCGGGGCTGGGCTGGGCTGTGCGGGGCCGTGCGGGGCTGGGCTGGGCTGTGCGGGGCTGAACACAGCCCCCGACCCGCGGGGATGCGCGGCTGGAGCTGCTCGGGGGCCGCCCTTGGCGCGGTGTCCCCCGAGCTGGTGGCAGCGCTGGGCTCGGTGTCTGCATGGATCCATGGAGGGATGGAGGGATGGATGGATCCATGGATGTAGGGATGGATGGATGTAAGGATAGATCCATGGAGGGATGGATGGATGGATGTAAGGATAGATCCATGGAGGGAGGGATGGATGGATGGATGGATGGCAGGCTTTGGGCTGGCTGTTTTGGCAGTACCCACCCCGCGGGGTGCTGGTGAGGTGAGCTCTGGTGCTGCCTGGCCTTTAGGGCGGGTTTGGCACATGGAGCGTTGTTGTCGCCACAGTTGTCACTCCGGGCTCGGGGAGTGGCAGCACCTGAGCGCCCAGACCTTCCCTGGTGTGGGACTTGTGCTGCCTGGCTGTGTTCCTGCTGTGGGTCAGCTTTGGATCGTGATTTTTGGCAGGGCACGAGGGGGTCCTTCAGGGGCTCCCAGAGGAGTCTCCAGCACGTTGTGCTTTGTCTGCCTGAGATGGGAACCCAGAGTTGAATGTCGTGATAGCTGTCATTAGAAATGCATGGCTTGATTTTTGTTTTCATCAACAAGATGGACTCACGTTTCTGGTATTGTGGAGCCATTAGGAACAGTTGAAAAAGCTGAATTTCAGCAACTTCTTCAGCTGGAAGCTTTCGTTTATCACAACTTCCTCCAGCTCCCAGCTCTGCCTGTGTTAGCAGTAATAGCAAGGGTGCAAGGATCTCATATCACTGTGCCAGCAGTTAAGAGTTACAACATCCCTCACGAGTTACAGGCTGTACTTGTGCTTGTGAGAAAGCTGAAACACGGAGGAGTTTGTTGTTTGATGTTGTGCAGCAAACAATTGTCAGGTTTGGGAGCAGAGCTTTGCTCAGGGTTGGTTTTTCAAGCTTTTGCTTTAACCACTGAGTATACGGTTTCCCACTAGGTAGCTCCTCAGGCAATGCTGTGAACTTGCCTAAAAGTTGATTGAAAGTTTCCACCAGAGGAAGGTTCTCAAGTCTCCCATCAGGTGCTTTTCTCACTCTCTGATGTCTCTCTGTGGTGCTCCTGTTTTACTCCCAGAATGAGGAATGGCTTTACATTTCTTCTTCTCTTAGGTTGCTTTGCCTGCACTCTAATTTCCCTCCCTCTGGATATTGCTTCTGGTTGGATCTGAGGTTCTGCTGAGCTTGAATGATGGGATATTGCTCTGGTGGAGCTGGGAGCCCCAAAACCTGCAGCCTGTTTTTATCAACACATGTACATTCTGCTTTCCTATCTCTTCTCTTGCTGACAGCCCCTTTCATCATCAGCCCTGCACACAAACAAGGTTATCCCCAGTTCAGATCATATTAGTGTAGTTCTGCTTCCATTACCTTTCCCTGTGAGCCTGTTCTGTGGGAGTGTGTGTGAGTAAGGTGGGTATTGAACAATTTAAAAGCTCAAAGGAGTCTTTATTTCATTAAGGGAAGGGCCCAAGCCAAGGGATTCTTTAATCCCAGTGGTTGTTTAAAGCTTGATCCTGTAGTTTCCACATAACCAGAACACTTCCATGGAAGGTGGGAAAATCTTTGGTTCTCCAGTGACATCTTGATGCACAGAAGATGCTGATTTTTGTTAATTTAGTGCTGGTTTTCATCAGCACCTCTGGGAGGGAAGAGGATGCTCTGTAGTGTCTTAGAGGCCTGAAGTTGGGTGTGGGCATTTTCATGCCTTGCCCAGGACAGTTCATGGTACATCTACACCCATCTAATGGTTTGTGTAAGCAAAAATCAGATTGATCAGGCATTTCTCAGACATATCTGAGAAAAGGCATTGTCAAAGCAACATAACTGTGTGTCTGGTATGTAGAGCTGGATGAACAATGGACTGCTGTTGAAAGAATGAGTGAATCAGTGCAGGCAACTGTGTGGCAGGATAGGACAGATCAATGTACAAAATGGAAGCTGATAATATGAAAAAAACTTCATTTGATTTTTATGTTTGGTAGAGGTAGAAGTCATATGATGGTAAACCAGGTAAAGGAAATTCAAATATTCTAAACTAGGGTTTGAGGAAGATAAAAAGCCAGGCTCTTGATTTTAGGGGTTGTTCAGTGCTTGAATGGTTTTCCAGGCTTTTCCAAGGGGTCCCCAGTGTTCCTGAGCTGAGTTTGGCCCTTGTGCACGTGTGGAAGGAGGAGCCAGAGGCAGAGCTGTGCTGCAGCTGGGTCTGTGCTGAAGGTGCAGCCCTGTCCCAGGGCTGAAGGAGAGCAGGGATGTGCTCATGGCACACTGAGACACGGATCCTGTTTTACAGAGCCCCTGGAGCTGTAATGGGAGCACATCAAACCCATCTGTCGGACGAGAGCAAAGTCTGAGCTGTTACTGCCAGCTGCACAAGGGAAGCAGCTCCAGCCTGGTTTTGCTGGGTGATGAAGTGACTGGCCCTGGTGTGAGTCTCCTCAAACCCTGCCAGGAGAGTCCCCCTCTCTCCCAAAGTGCCCCGTGCAGGCACAGTTTGACAACACTCACCTGCTGCAGGATTTTTCCCAGTCTGCCTTGAAGGGCAATTTGTGGGTTATTTCACTGTCAGCCAAGGCTCAAATGACTTGTTTTACCCTGTGACCCCAACCAAAAAATCCAGAGCAAGCTGAATTTCAGAAGGCTCTGAAGTGCTGTGGAAGCTCAGAGCAGGCTCAGGTGTGCTGGCTGTGGGTAAAGCCATGCCAAACACGTGTGTTCAGAATTCCCGTGGTCTCCTCCCCCAGCCAAAGCCGTGCCTGCAGTGACAGTGACAGTGACAGTGACAGTGACTTCCTGCAGCCTGCCATGCAGCACAGCACATCACCTGTGAGCTCTGCACTGCTCGTTTCCTGTAAACTCGAGAGGTATTTTGGTAGTGCTGGGGTTTTGTAATTTTGCAATTTGTTTCTTTGTGGGTGTTGGAGCTTCCGTGTCTGTCTGGTGCTGCAGCCCCACAGAGGTTTGGGGAACGCTGCTCCATGGGTGATCTTGCTGCTTGGTGTTTTTTGGGGTTTTTATTTTTGCCTTTTCCTCTCCAAAGCAGTCGAGTGTTGTAAACACCAGAGCTGTGGTTGATAAACTTCACAAGAGGAAACTTGTGTGAGTAGGTTTTATGTTGGCTGCTGGCTTGTTAAATTCTGACTGGGTGGTTTCAGATGTGTCTCTTGCACCCTGACGCTCTGCATGAATTTGCTTTTCCTCAGGTTCCTCAACTGTTCCTATCCTGATCCTGTGCCTGTGTTCTCTACATGGCATCCAGTGAAATTGAGGTTTTATTTCTGTCCTGGTGCATGGACTCATCCCATGTGCACATCACTGCTGCCTTGGCCAGCTCCCCTCTCTGCTAAAGACACAATTTATTACCTGCACGCTAATTACTGCAAGGGAAGCCCTGGGGAGGGGAGAGCAGCCTGGAGCTTTCCTGCAGAGTGAAGAATAATGGTCTGAGGCAAAGGGCACAGGGGAAATTGTGGACTTGCCTTCATCTGTAAAATGGAATTTTGTCTCATGGTTATTTTCCTCCACCACACTGATGAAGAGGTCTGGCAGTGTTTGGTGGGTTCATGGCATGTATGACTCCAAGGAAGTGATTAATACCAATGGGTGCAGCTTTTCTATTATTCCACACCTCAGAATTAATGGGGGATTATGGAGCAACTGTGGAGTCTTTGCTGCTTGTGCTGGTCTGAACCAGGGGCAGGAGTCAGTGTGGAATGGCTCCATGTGCATTTCATTCCTAATTTCCTCAGAAAGTCTGTCTTGCACAGATTTTTACCTTTGCCTCACAAAAACATTTCACAGAGCAGCAGCACGTGTGGCAAGGAGAGCGCACTCGAGTTCTCTGGGAAGGGTTTTGTGTCTGGAGCCCTGGGAATCCATCCTTGGGCACGTTGGTGGTGCCTGGGGTGTGTGCTGTGTGACAGGGACATTTCCCTGCCCCTGCAGGCTCAGGTGAGGCAGGGCTGGCTGGGCAGGGTTTGTTTGTCTGCAGCCCCAGACTGGGCTCTGCTTTGTGCCTGGCTGTGCCTCCCTGTCCCTGTCCCATCCCTGTGCAGGAGGGCAGTTCCCTTCCTCCTTTTGGGAAGGGGGAGCAGCCTGTGCCTGCCCTGCAGCCCAAACTCTGCTGGGAGGAAGGGCTGAGATGGGTTAGGGTTAGGAGGATGTTTTGGGGCACATGTCAGCAGGAAGGTGACAACTGGGGTGGCACAGTGTGGGTGGCTGCAGCCCAGTGTGGGTGAGCCTGGGTCCCTGCTCGGGGTGGTTCTGTGAGGTTACATCCCTCTAAAACGCTGAATTCTGTCTCATCCTGGCTCTGAGGTTTACACAAGTTGTACAGGAAAATAATTTGTTGAGTGTAGATTGATTAACTTGAACCTCAGGCTACCAGATCTACAGGTCTGAACCCTACCACAAAATGGGATTTCTAACAATAATCTGTCTGCCCACCAGAATGAGAGTCTGAGATGATGCTGAGGCTTTAAAAATGGACGATTATATTGGAGAATTCTTTATATTGGAAAATTCTTCTTCTCTTTTGAAGACTGCTGCAGTGAAAGAGAGTATATCTCAAACTACTCCAGTAGTGTAAGCCCTGCCAAAAAGGAATGATGCTGCACTTGACTGTTCACAAATGGCAAAATGACCCAGAGAAAAGGGAATTGTAATTACTTGTACACGTGAGGTCAAGATAGTGCCAACAAGGTTAGAGCCTGGAGAACTGTTCAGTTTGCCAAGGCAAAGGGGCAGAGGGAAGTCAGGTGTGCAGGAGCCTCGTGTAAAAACTCTCACACTGCATCAGACCCGAGCTCCAACAGGTAGGACATTCTGAATTTAGCCATGGGAAGGGGAGAGCCTTGGTAAATGATGTATTAAAGTCCAGAGTTATTCTTCCTTTGGTATATTCATGCCAGGTTCTGTTGAAAAAAATCCTGCATCCTCCAAATCAGGGAGTTTGGAAAAAGGAGGTGTTGGGCTTGAACCAACATTGTAGTGCCCATGGCTCAGACAGGCACTTCATGTTCCCTGGGCTGTGGTGCCAGGCAGAAATCCTCGTCTGAAGGAGGCAGCTCAGGCATTGCTGTGTCTGTCTCTGCTGGTCAGTGGAGTCGAGGTTTGCTGACTTAGGCTGAGGTGGCAGATACACCAGGAACCTGCTGGTTTTATTGTTGATGGGCAGAAAGCAAGGCCAGCTTGTTTGGCTTTATTCAAACTCGTAAAGCCTGCCTCCTGCCCCTGTGCTCCCTCCCTGCAGGGCTTTGTGGTCTCTCTATCTGGCCTGGGTGATGCAGGCTCTGCTGAGGAAGCAGGACAGATAAAACATGGCTCATGTTTCTGGGAATCCTGACCTCAGTGCTGCCGGGGAAGTGGTGTGTTCCCAGGGGCTGGCAGATAAGGTGCTGGGCTCCTTGTGCTGAGGCCCGGGGCTGGAGGAGCTGCCAGCAGGGCTCTGTGGTTTGGGAATCAGCAGCGCTGTGCTCAGCTCCTTCCAAACTCTCTGCACCCACAGCTGCAAAGCTGAGTTGGAAGTTGTGAATGGGGAAATTCTGTGCTGGTTTCACGGGCTGAGGAGAAGGGACACAGGCTTGCTCAGGGCTGAGTTTGGAGCTGGGGCTGGGCAGAACCGTCCAGGCTGCAGCCCTGGGCTCTTCCTCTGCTGACCTGACACAAAAACTGGTGAGAGGGAATTGAGGTGAGCTGGTTTCTCTGCTGGGGTGGTTGGGCAGGATCAGTTGGAGCCACTTCTCTGTCTCCTGCTGGGAGCCAGCAGTGCCAGTGTCCCAGCTCGTGGGGACACCACACTCTGCCACTTGTCTGTGCAGGAAGCTGGAGATTTTATTGCTGTGGTGTTTTGCTTGTGGGCAAATGGATGGAGACTTTGTTGCATGTCTTTGAGAAAGGAAATGTCTGACAGGCTGCTGCTGAATGCTTTTTGTTTCATCCTGTGTTTGAAAACAGCAGCCTGATAGTGTACAGTACCTGGTAGTGTTCAGATTTTTGTTCTCTTCTTTGCATTCCTTGGATGCAAATTTATGCAAAATTTATTTTCCTTTATGAAAATAAATAGTAGCATCCTGCCAAGGGACAGGCTGCAGATGGAATTATCAAACTTGTTCTGATTGCCTCACCCTTCAACTTCATTTTTCTATACTGTATATATATGTGCAGCAGAGTATTATTTGTTTGTGTGTATAAAAATTAATTCATACTTGGAACCAGCAACAATTCTTTCTCCCTCTTGCAGACTGGAACTGAGCTCTGGAAAAACAAAGTGGAGCTTGGAGCATGTGGCCTGAGGATTGCCTTACACAGCCAGGGGTAGGAACTTACTGCTTCTCTTGGCTGCTTGGTGTCGATGAGCTGTTGGGACAAGTGTCTGTGTTCTCCAGAGAAGATAATTCTCTTATTTCTTTGTCAAATGCAGATGTAGGTGTTAATCCTGGCCTAGAAGGGATTAAGGGAGGCTTGCATTGAAATAGAAGCAAATGCTGTAGTTACATGTGGCTCAAAGGCACTGAAGTGGGATTTCTACTGAGGTCCACGTTTCCCTGAGCTTTAAGGCTGTGCTGACCTTCCTTTCTTTGGGTTCTTTTGCACACTGATTTCCTACAGAGCCCAGCACAGAACTGAGCAAATAATAAGTAGTCAACAGCAAGAGATTATTCTCCCTTTTCTTGCAGGTGGTAGCCAAGCAGTGAGCAGGATGCCCCCAGGCATTTACTGCCCTACGGAATTCTGGTCCAAGGGGGAGAACCAAAACATCCAGGTGGATTTTCTGCTGCCCACAGGCATATACTTGAACCTCTCAGTGCCCTGCAATGCCAGCCTGGGCACCATCAAGCAGGTAAGAGCCTTGTTGGGTGACAGGTCTGTGTTACAGCCAGGGTAACCCTGCTCCAGTAGCAGGCACTTAGGGTGGGAGTGAAAAAGGGATGTGGAGCCGTGAGAGAGAGAGAGAGAGTGCTGTCCACAGGGAGGGGAGGAGCTTTGGGAGCTGCAGTGTTGACAAGACTTGAGAAGCTCTTGGCTCCTGTCACAGATTTCATGTCACTTAACCCAGTTTTGTTTCCAGTGTGAGTAATTGCTCTGTGTGACAGCACAGGGTGAGAGAGGGTGACAGTGTGCAGGTTGACAGTGCAGGTTGACAGTGCGAGGGTGACAGTGAGGGCGATGGTCTGAGAGTGACAGAGTGCAGGGTGACATTGTGAGGGTGACAGTGTGACAGTGACAGGCTGACAATGTGATGGTGACAGTGAGAGTGACGATCTGAGGGTGACAATTCATGGGTGACACAGCGAGGGTGACAGTGTGATGGTGACAATTTTGAGGGTGACAGCGATGGAGACAAGTGAGAGTGATCCTGTGCAGGTGCCAGTGCACGGGTGACCCTGCACAGGTGACAGTGAGGGTGACCCTGTGAGGGTGACAGTGTACAGGTGACCCTGTGAGGATGACCCTGTGAGGGTGACAGTGTACAGGTGACGGCGCACAGGTGACCCTGTGTCCCCCGCAGGTGCTCTGGAAGCACGCCCAGTATGAGCCGCTGTTCCACATGCTCAGTGACCCCGAGGCCTACGTGTTCACCTGCATCAACCAGACGGCCGAGCAGCAGGAGCTGGAGGACGAGCAGCGCCGCCTGTGTGACATCCAGCCCTTCCTGCCCGTGCTGCGCCTCGTGGCCCGCGAGGGAGACCGGGCCAAGAAAGTCATCAACTCCCAGATCAGCCTGCTCATCGGGAAAGGTCAGCACAGCCACGACCACGGCAGGAGGGGTCCCTGGGGCTGCTCCTGTCCCTGACAGCCTGGCTGCCCGTGGGACACAGCTGGGGCCCTGCTCCTGCACTGGCACATCAGCAGCTGTCACCTGCAGGGGATGCAGGGGATGCACTGTCTGTGCACAGCCAGGATGGGGTGCAGGGGATGCAGCACTGTCTGTGCACAGCCAGGATAGGGTGCAGGGGATGCAGGAGATGCAGCACTGTCTGTGCACAGCCTGGGATGGAAGTTCCTGCTGGAAGTTGGGTCAGTGTCCCTGTACACCATCAGGCAGTGATTGCTGGTGGCTTGGTTTTTTTTGCCACGTGTTAAACACGTGCTCATGGACACTTTCACAGACATGTGAGGAGAAGGCTCATTTCCCCACTGGCTGCAGGTGCTTATTTTGCCTTCCTCTCTTGCTTCCCCCGCAGGTTTGCACGAGTTTGACTCGGTGCAGGACCCGGAGGTGAGCGATTTCCGCTCCAAGATGTGCCAGTTCTGCGAGGACAAGGCGGCCAAGCGGCAGCAGCTCGGCTGGGCAGCGTGGATGGAGTACAACTTCCCCCTGCAGCTGGAGCCCATGGCCAAGGGCCTGGGCACTGGCTCTCTGCAAATCCCCACCAAGAACATTTTTGTCAACATCAAGTTCCAGTCTGGTGGGGTAAAGCACAAACTTTTCTGTCACGGTGTTTGATGGTTTGTGCTTTTCCTTTGGGAACCTCTGTGTGTGTGGAGACAGAATAACGTGTGCCTGGGCAGGGTTTCCATGTGTTCAGTGCTCATCTTCGTTCTCCAGGTTCCTTTGCCTGTGGAGATGGTTGGGAGGGAGCTGTTCCCCCTCCTGAGCATGCCCTGGCTGTACTGGTCAGCTGGAAGCTGAGGTTGCTGCATGTACATGGGCTGGAAACCTTCATGGGTTTGGGTGGGAAAGGAGCACAGAATCCAATACTTGACTTTCCCTTGGAAGCTCAGGAGCCTGCTCAGCTCATGCTCAGCAAATCTGCGTGCAGGGCTGGTCTGTGCTGCCCTGGGCCCTGCCCTTGGCTCTTGTTCTGCATGTTGTGCCTGGGTGTGAGGCAAGGTCACTCTCTCAGGAGAGGGGCCTTCAGAGCAGTGTGGGGACCCTTGCAGCCTCTGCCCTGCTGGTGGAAAGGCTGTGGGAAGGTTTTTAATGACTTGCAGCCATGTGAACTGCTTAAAATTGAAGTTCCTGATTTCCAGCCTTGTTCTTGCACTGGTGAAACTTGCTGCTGCCAGTTTGGCAAACGCCCCACGTGTGTGGTTGTACCTTCCCATCCTGCTCCTCATGCCAGCAGCAGCAGCAACGTTGTTCCTGTCTGTGCCCCCTCAGCCCCGTGCTGCTGTCTGACAGTTTGCTGTGCTCTTGGGATTGCAGGAGAGCTTCACGTTCCAGATCTCCCCCTGGGAGTTCCCCATCACCTTGATGAGCTATGCCATCAAGAAACAAGCCACTGTGTTCCGCCACGGGACCCGGCAGAAGCCGGAGGACTACACCCTGCAGGTGAACGGCAAATGTGAATATCTCTATGGCAACTACCCCCTGTACCAGTTCCAGGTGAGCCTCCTCTCCTGCTCTGCCAGTGGCTCTGTTCCCTTCTCTTGCTGGGGACGTGGGGTGGGACATGGTGCCAGGGAGACACTGCTGGTTCCAGGGGTGCAACACATCAGTGACAGCACCTGGGTGCTACTTAGGGCAAAGGGCACTTCCAGCAACCTAACAAATCCTTATTTTTGGGGACAAGTGGTCTAAGCCTGTCCCCGGGTGCTGAGTGCTGTGTAAATACCTTTAGAGAGTGGTTCTGGAAATATCTGCCTGCTTGTATGGTGGGTTCTCCTATTGAGAATTGGGCAAATTATTTTGAATCATGTGCTCCTCTGGCAGGGCAAACTGCTGCTGGGAGTGCTGAATCCTCCTCAGTGTTTTCCCTTAGTGCAGCCGTTTGAGTCCATTGATGAAATGCCAGCTGTAAAAGGCACTTCATATTCTCACTTCTGGCAGCATGAGGCCAGGGAGCTGCAGGTTTATAAAGCAAGAGGAGATAATTGAGAACTGGAATTGGATTGTTGCTGTGTCCTTCCCTGAGTCGCTGCAGGGTTGCAGCCTGGGCTGGTGGCCCTGGCTGTTTGGTGGCCATGGCTGGTGGCCCTGGCTGTTTGGTGGCCATGGCTGACCCTGTCCCCTCTCAGCACATCCGCAGCTGCCTGCAGCGGGGCCTGACCCCCCACCTGACCATGGTGCACTCCTCTGCCATCCTGGCCATGAGGGACGAGCAGAACAACTGCATCACCAGCCCCCCAAAGGCGGCCTGCAAGCCCCCCCCGCTCCCCAAGAAAAAGGTAAAGGGGGCAGTGGCCCCTGGGCCACCCTGGGCTCGCGTGGGGACAGGGCTGGGAGCAGCTCTGGGATCTCCCTGCCCTTCTCAGCACAGCTGGAACCTAAGCTGGGCTCTAACTCCCTAAGCTGGGGTCTGGGGTGGGGGTTTCCAGCCTTCAGCTCCCTCCACTGCTTCCCTGGCTGTCCCAGCCTTCTTGCTCTTTCCTAAGGGACCCAAAAGTGTGGAATGGGAGATGAGTTCTGCTGCTGGCTGGAGAGGCCTTTGTTGCACCCGTTTCTGATCAGAGTCCTCTCCTCTTTCCAGCCAAACTATGGCTCTCTCTGGTCCTTAGAGCAGCCTTTCTACATCGAGCTGGTGCAAGGCAGCAAGGTCAATGCAGACGAGAGGATGAAGGTGGGTCCTGCCTCAGCCTGGGTTTGTGCTGTGCTTTCCCAGCCACATCCCTCTCGTTTGTGTGGGGGGACAGTGGTGCTGGCAGTGGGATCTCACCTGCTCCTCTGGGCAGTCCTGAGCTGCAGCACAGCAGGAATGGGGAGGGGAGAGGCTTTGGGAAAGGTGAGGGCACTGTGCAGTGCTGGGCAGGGAACTGCAGCAGCAGCGAGGGAAACCCAGCCCTGAGAGCAGAGGGATGGGAGAGGTGGCGACTGCAAAGGGAAGGCAGGAGGCAGAGGGGCCTGGGGTGTGGGGGGTGTTTGCCATGGAGGGGGAGCAGGAGAATGAGGAGGAGGAGCAGCTGCCCTTTGGGAAAGGAAGGAATCTGGGCAAGAACATTAATCAACATGCAAATCTGCATGGAGTGAGGAGATGACAGTGCCCTCAGTGAAGCTGAGTAAAGAGCTCAGAGCTGGATGTGCCAGTGACCTGGGGGGAGACAGGAGCAGGGGAGCGAGTCCAGGGCAGAGGCTGCCCTGCCCCATTGCTGTCCTGGTGCTGTCCTCAGCCAGCCGTGGGTTCAGGGGTCATTTCTGTTCTTGGTGTGCCTCAGCTGGTGGTGCAGGCAGGGCTGTTCCACGGCCATGAGATGCTGTGCAAGACCGTGTCCAGCTCGGAGGTGAGCGTGTGCTCCGAGCCCGTGTGGAGGCAGCGCCTGGAGTTCGACATCAGCGTGTGTGACCTGCCCCGCATGGCCCGGCTCTGCCTCGCCCTCTACGCCGTCATCGAGAAGGCCAAGAAGGCTCGATCCACCAAGAAGAAGTCCAAGAAAGCTGTAAGTGAAGAGCTCGGGGCACAGGAGCTCGGAACCGTGTGCCCTTTGTCACGTTAGGAAAGCAGTTACAGAATAATGGGCAGCAGCTTCTCCTGCAGGGGCAGGAAGCTGAGAAGTGGCTGCCTGTAAGAAAGGCTGGTTATGTGTAATTTCTTCTCTAGAAAGACCATTAAGAAACACCCAGCATCTTACTGCACCTAAAGAGGAATCACTTGTGGTGGTGTCCGTTTGTTGCTGTTCCACAACTTCCTTGTTTTGCAGTTGAGGTTAAACCATCATCTCTGTTGCATTTTCTTTCTAACAAGGTCTTCCTTGCAAATCCCCAGTGGAGCAAATTACCAGCCAGGGAGGGGGAATAAACTGAGGAATGTAAACACTGGTTATGGCAAAGCATCAGGCAAGGTAAAATTAAAGTGCAGATTCCTCAAGGTTACTGTTCACATCAAACTGACCATTATAAAGTGTTAAATCACTTTGGAAGCTCTTGCTGTGAGCATCTTAATCAGAGGTAGTGATACTTCTGGCCCATTAATGATTTAGTAACTAAAAGCAGATCCAGCTGCAGCCTGTAATTGAACTGCTGATTTCCCAGAGTTGTAATGGAAGCCTCAAGCTCTTTGCATGTGAGAGTTCTCTTTATGAGCCTCTGCAAATGATTGTTTCTGTGACCACAAAGACACTGTTCTCGTGCCTTAAGGAGAGGGTTACTCATGCCATCTGTGCTGGAGTGCAGAGGAATGAGGCACTGATGAGTGTGAAACACAAGATTTCAGTTCTGCTCACTCCTCCTCTCTGTTGGGAGGTTCACTGAGCTTTGTAGACATCGGTGGGGTTCTCAGGGTTGCTGTGCAGTCATGTCTGGGAGCAGCAGCCAGCTCATGAATCCTGCTTGTGGGGACCAATTTCTGGGTTGGAGGCTCCAGACTGGAAACATTTTGAGGCCAGGACCAGGATTAACAGTTTCATTGTTGGGTTTCTTTTTTATTTAAGAATAGCAGAACCCCAGCTCCTGCTGGAGGCTTTTGTTGGACAGAAGATCTGATTCATCCACAGGCTGGATGTTTGTGGTCACACTGGAATAATTTTCGGTTTTGAAGCAGTCAGAAGGAAATCTTGCTGCTCTGATTGACAAAACACAACCAGTCTGTTTAGCTGAGTTGTTTAGGGGATCTTATTCATGTGTATTCTGCTGCTGGGGGAAGGAGGGTGCATTCTGATGAGCTTTTAGTATAAAATCACAACACTCACTACAACTGAGCACTGCAGAAAGGAATTTTTCCCTATGGTGAGCTACAGCTCTGAGTGAAGTACCCAGAAATCATTTCAAATGATTGGTAAGGGCAGGTTACAGAGTGCACCCTGATTTTTTTGTTAGTTTGTTTTGATTATTATTTTTTTTTCCTTCCTCAGAGGTTAATTCCATACGTGTTGTTTATATGCAGACTGTCCAGAGCAGATAGGTGGGACTAAATAATTTACTACCCCAGAGCCAGGCCTGTTTGCAGGCTGACTGGATGAGTCAGAGGGTTAATGTCACCCAAGGGCTGGCTTTCAGTGTTTCTCTAAGTCATGCAGGGGGTGGCTGTCTGTAGAATGCTGGATCCTTGTTTTGCTGGACCTTATCCACCAGAAATCTTGCCTTGTGTTTTGGCAGGCTCTGAGCTGTGGTTAGATGTCATTTATTCTGTTAGGGAAGATTATTGCTGGCAGTGGTGTTTTATTTGGCTTTTCCCTGTGATCTGGAAGCTGATGTCTCAAATGTGATTTTACTGAAGATATTTGGAGTAATGAAATCAGCTCCAGGGTTTGTGGGAGGCCACTTGGAAGTGACTCCTTTTGTCACATTAGAGGGAAATGGGGGCTCTGTTACTGCACCAGGTGTTTGGGTGTTCTGGGGGTGAGGCTGCACTGTCCAGCCTGCCCCGGTGGAACCAGGAGTGTCACTGTGCTTCCTTCACACCTGGCCCTGTTTGTGGGGCCTCCACGCAGGATTTCTGCCATGTAACCCCTGCTCCAGCCTGTGTGCTGAGCTCTGATCTGAGCTCTGAGTGTGTGAGTGAAGTGTTCCATGTGGGGAACCTGACTGCAGGAACGCTGAGCTCACTCGTGGGATGTGTCTGCTCTGGGGCTGGGAGCTGGGTGAGGGCAGGGATGGGTTCTTTGTCTTGGCCATGTCCCAGTCACTTCACTGCTGGAGTCTCCCCTCCCCAAAACGAGCCTGGGTTGGATTTGTGGGGTTTATTTTGGGGGTGTGGTGAGGGATTGGCAGCATAACATTTAATTTCTATAGATAGTGTTTATTATTGCACAAAGAAGCCAAGCCTTTTTTTCCTATTATGAGCTATTTCTAGCAGCCTTTGTCTCATTTTCCAAAATCGTGCCTACTCTGTGTTCCCTGTTTCAAAATGAAAATTCTTCTCCCTCCCCTTCAAATTGTGAAATACATGAAATATGTAGTAGTTCCCTCAAATACTGAGTGTAGAGTAGCAAGGCCTTATTGGAAAATTAGAGATTCTTCAGCCATGCCAAATACCAGGTGGTGAAGCTTTAGACACATTTTTGGGGAGGATTTGGTGCCATTCAGCACCACACAGAAGACCCCAGGTTTTGGCACGTGCCTGATGCCACCTTGTGCTCTGGATTTGGAGACAGCAGTGAGCAGACAGGGTGTCCCTTTGCAGGGGGGTCCCTCACTCTCAGCTCTCCTGCCCTGCAGGACTGTCCCATCGCCTGGGTCAATGTGATGCTCTTCGACTACAAGGACCAGCTGAAGACAGGGGAGTGCTGCCTGCACATGTGGTCCTCCTTCCCAGGTACGGCAGGACAGGGAGCTGCTGTCCCCACAGGAGGTGGAGTGGCCTCTGCTCTGGAGCTGCTCACCTGGGGATGTCACCTGCCCTCCCTGGGGAGGGTGAAGTGCCCGTGGGCAGTGCCCAGGGACAGTCTCTGCTCTGCTTTCTGCACCAAAGCTTCACAAGGTTTGGGCTCATGGCTTTTATGTGCTTTGTTTTTCAGATGAGAAAGGGGAACTTCTGAACCCCATGGGCACAGTGCAGTGCAACCCCAACACAGAGAGTGCAGCAGCTTTGGTCATCTGCTTCCCCAGCGTGGCAGCACATCCTGTGTACTACCCCTCCTTCGAGCAGGTGGGGCACAGGGACACTCCTGGCAGGGACAGGAATTCCCTCACTGTCCCTTGCACTGGGGAACCCCTGGGGCAGCCATCCACAGGGACTGGGTGCCAGCAAACTTGATGAATAGATGTTGTTAGCTGAAAATCACACTTTTCCCTCTTAACTAATGGACCTTTGAGTGAATACTTTTCCAAGCTGTGAATTACTGAGGTAAAGCTTCTCTCATAGATGAGCATTTGTTTAAAAAATGGTTTTAACTGGGCTGCCTTCAAACTGCATTTGGCTCTGTAGGAAGGAAGAGGAATAAAAGGGAAGTGAGTGAAAACAGGCAGTCCCTCCCTTTCAGCAGGGATAACATGCCATGTGTGAGGTGCAGATTTTCCATCTGCAATGGCCAGACAAGTGGAAGGAGAAATGTGGCTGTTGAGGGGAGGAAGGGGATCTGCTCTGCCACAGCCAGCTCTGTGCTCCCCTTGGGGCTGGGGCTGCTCAGGGGCTGTGCCAGGGAGAAGGGGGAGCCTGGGCAGAGGTGGCAGTTCCTGATCTCCAGTGCAGCATCAATGCTGAAGTGATGGTGACAATCACAGGGGAACTGAGGAGCCTTTCTCACCCTCTTTATTTGTGTTCCAGCTGCTGGAGCTGGGAAGGAATGGAGAACAACCCCGAGCTGCACCAGAAGATTCTGAGGAGGTGAGAGTTCTGCCATCAGTTTTCAGCTGCCTGCAGGCCTGGTTTCATGGACTGCCTGTTCCACCTTACCCCTCCCAGCGTTTTTCAGTAACGGGGTCGTGCCCCAGTGCTGCAGGGTGTGTGAGCTGAGCTGAGCTGTGCTCTGGCTGATGTTTGTGCTCTTTGCTGTGCCTGCCCTGGGCAGAAGCTGCAGCTGAAGGAGATCCTGGAGAGGAGGAGCCACACGGAGCTGTACGAGCACGAGAAGGACCTGGTGTGGAAGATGAGGTTTGACATCCGGGATCAGTACCCACAGGCTCTGGCCAAGCTGCTCATCATCACCAAATGGAACAAGCACGAGGACGTGGCCCAGGTGAGGATGCTGGGGCTGGCAGCCAGGGCTCCCTTTCTGATAATCCTTCAGTGTCTGCATTCCTGTGCTCTGTTTGGGAGCCCAGCTGAGCAGGGATGCTTCAGTTTCCTCAGGGAAGTTCCCAGCTGGTTCCAGCTGAGCTCTGGCTCTGTTTGGTTCTCTGGGCTGTCCCAGATTCATTACTGCCAGCAAGGTCTTGTTTATCCCTTCAAGAAACTGGAGGCCAAAAAAAATCTGTTTAATTCTTGGGAAGAAAGAGATCTGGATTGAATATTCTTAAATGATAGTAAGAGAAGGGTCAGTTTTTGACCTGGTATCTGCAAACTTGCTGTGAGGCATCTCTAAATAGTAAGCCCCCTTAAGGAGCTGCTCTTTCATCAGTAGAATTTCAGATTTATATCCATTGTCATAAAAACCTTGTTCCTTTTTTTTACTATTTTCTTTTTGGTCATTACAGATGATTTCCCTGCTTCAGACCTGGCCAGAGTTGCCTGTCCTGAATGCCTTGGAGCTGCTGGATTTCAGCTTTCCTGACCGTTATGTTGGCTCCTTTGCTATCAACTCCCTGAAGAAGCTGACGTGAGTGTTGTCCCCAGGGGAGAGGCAGAGCCTTTTTATTTCTGTTTCTATTTCTGCTCAGGGCTGCTGAGGGGCTGTGAACAGGAGTGACAGCTTTGTCTTCACAGCTTTGACAAGAACACTCGTGGCAGTGAAGACAAGGTTGTTTCATGTTTCCTTTGTGCCCACAGGGATGATGATGTGTTCCAGTACCTGCTGCAGCTTGTCCAGGTGCTCAAGTATGAATCCTACCTAGACTGTGAATTAACCAAGTTCCTGCTGGAAAGGGCCTTGTCCAACCGCAAGATCGGCCACTTCCTCTTCTGGCATCTGAGGTGAAGAGCAAATGGCTCAGGCTTTTCTCAGTGAAACCTGCATTTACTGACCCCTCCACTGCTCTGTGCAGTGGGAGCTGCTACTTTTTACCTCCTATTCCAGGAGGACACAATAGCATTTTTTTGTTAATTTATTTTTGTCTTTCGTTGTTGTAGTGGTGGTGTTTGGGTTAGGTTCTGTTTCCAGAATTTATATTTGTGACTATACACACACATGCCTGTGAGCTGGAATTTGCTCTGGGCTTCCATGGCCACCTGCCAGCTCTGAGCCATAAGCTCTGAACTGTTTTTGCTCCCCAAGTGATGATCTTAAAGGAGGGGCTGGTGATTGAGTCACAAAGATCTTTCATCACCTCAAGCAATGCTTTTCCTCCATCACCTGGAGTGGGGGCATTTCTTTTCTCCTTCCCCACCACACAGAATCGAAACAGCAGCCAAATATTGTGTTGTTGTCCCCCGTTGCTGGTGTGAATGGGACAATGAATGACAGTGCAGTGACCCAGCTCTGCTCTAACCTCCCTGCCAGGTCAGAAATGCACGTCCCTGCTGTGTCCCTGAGGTTTGGCCTGATCCTGGAGGCGTACTGCCGGGGCAGCACCCACCACATGAAGGTGCTGATGAAGCAGGTACAGATTGCCCTGGCCCACAAGGCTGCCTTGCCTTCCCTCTGGCCTGGGGCTGGTTCTCTTGGCTTTCCCAAGTTCATGTTAGCAGTAATGCAGGAAGAGCCTGCTGAGGGCTGCTGTGGCTTTGCTGATGCCTTACTCACCCCAGAGGCTGCAGTCTGTGCCTGGAATGCTCTGAGGTGTTCAGAGAGATGTTCAGAGATGTTCTGTGAGAGCAGCTGGGTGAGGTGCAGCTCTTGGCTGGTTCAGAGCAGTGCTCTCTGTCCCTTGCAGTTGTTGGGTGCAGGAACTGCTGGCATTTTCCCACTCTGAAACTTCTCTTACCTGTCCAGGGTCACTGTACAAATTCAGAAGTGAGGGACTCATCTCCAGACAAAATTCTATCCAAGATGTGCCCATAGGTCAGTGCTGCTGCTTTTCAAGCCTGAGCAGCACAACCAGAACTCCCCAAAAGTACTGAAGGGCAGGCTGGGCTCTGCTCTCATCCTCACTTTTCCAGGCAGTGCACCTCCTTTCTTCCTCTGGTGCATGGTAATGTGCTTTATTCCTGCTGCAGTCATTACCTTGCAATGCATTTGTGCCCAGCAGAGTATCCACAATTAATTATGGATCTTCCTCAAGCAGATGCTACTAAATTTGTTCTGCTGCAACGTTTGAAATTGCTACAAATTGAAGAGAAAGTAAGAGATGGAACCAAGGTTTACATTTCGTAGGAGATTTTAATGTTTTTTAAACTTTCTCCACGAATTTCCTATTTGTTAACCCTGTTTCATCCCTCCCTTTTTTTCAGGGAGAAGCACTGAACAAGATGAAAGCTCTGAATGACTTTGTGAAAGTGAGTTCTCAGAAGGCCACCAAGCCTCAAACCAAGGAGATGATGCACATGTGCATGAAGCAGGAAACCTACAGGGAAGCCCTTTCCCACCTCCAGTCCCCCCTGAACCCCAACATTATCCTCGCTGAAGTTTGGTAAGGGAGAGATCTGCACCTCTGAATTTGTGTGAATTTTGGGCTTTGGTTCACACTGGAGCCAGGCTTTGGGTTATCCCAAGGTTCTTTCCTCATGGAAGTCCCAAGTCCATCAGTGAGTGGAGTTGCTCTAGGACTGGCAGCTTGGATGGATATTTTAACAGATGGAACCTGATGCTAATATTTTTATTATTTCCTCTAGTGTGGATCAGTGCACCTTCATGGACTCCAAAATGAAACCTTTGTGGATTGTGTTTAATAATGAAGAGACAGGTGGAGGTGGAGTGGGCATCATTTTTAAAAATGGAGATGGTAAGTCTTTATTGTGCCTGTGAAAATATATCTTTTAGTCTCAAGTATTTACTGGGGTGAGTGGGCCTCAATCTGGACCATAATATATTGTGTAAATGAGGACCTTTAACATTTTTGGGTGAGTTTTTTGGTAGCAATCTGAAAATAGGTATTAACTCCCCTCTGTATTTCACCTGCTTCCCTCTTCCATTAAGACTTTAGTGCAGTGGTAGTTGGATGCCTTTGAAGAGTAAAATTGTATTTTCCTCTGTGCTGCTGCCCAGATCTGCGCCAGGACATGCTGACTCTGCAGATGATCCAGCTGATGGACATCCTGTGGAAGCAGGAGGGGCTGGACCTGAGGTGAGCAGTGTGCACACAGTGCTCCTGCACTGGGAAATCAGGGCTGCTGAGGCTTTTTTTTTTTTCTTTTTTTTTTTGCCCCCAGCAGCTCTGGCTGGAGTTCTGGGCAGGTTCTGTGGGGCTGGGGAACAGAACTGCAGAGCAGGAAGGGAGGGGACAGGGAAAGCTTAGAAGTGACCAGCAGCCTCGTGTGGGCAGGATTTCAGTGGAAGGGTTTCTCTCATCTCTGCAGGATGACCCCTTATGGCTGCCTCTCCACAGGAGACAGGACGGGGCTGATCGAGGTGGTCATGCACTCGGACACCATCGCCAACATCCAGCTCAACAAGAGCAACATGGTGGCCACGGCTGCCTTCAACAAGGACGCCCTGCTCAACTGGCTCAAGTCCAAGAACCCGGGGTGAGGGGCTCTCCTTTCCCTCCCTGCTGCCCTGCCTGGCACACCTCACTGCCACTGGGACACAACCTTACTGACACCCTGCAGTCACACTTACTGCAGCTCCTTTCTGGGCACCAGGGCTGGGAGTTGTGCCTCTGCAGGACTAGAGCACTAGAGCAATCCAGAGGAGCTTCCCTCCCTTGTCCTGCAGCTGAAAACAGCTCTCCTCATGGGGCAGTACTGGAGTCTGAAGTAAAATTCTCTTTCACTCTTTGCACCCTCTCTAGAGATGCCCTGGACCAAGCCATCGAGGAGTTCACCCTGTCCTGTGCTGGATACTGTGTGGCCACCTACGTGCTGGGCATTGGGGACAGGCACAGTGACAACATCATGGTCAGGGAGACAGGCCAGGTAACCCCGGGGGCTCTGGCACCTGAATTTGTCTCCTCCCAAAGGAGAAGTCATGCCTCTCTCTCCCAAAACCCTGTGGGAGGGAGCTGCTGAATACAGTAACTGAAAAGAACTCAATGCTGATCAGCTAAAACAGGTAATAGTCTGAAAATATTTTTTTTTTATTTGCAGCTGTTCCATATTGATTTTGGTCACTTTTTGGGGAACTTCAAGACTAAATTTGGTATTAACAGAGAACGAGTCCCTTTCATCCTGACCTATGACTTTGTGCACGTCATCCAGCAAGGAAAAACCAACAACAACGAGAAGTTTGAAAGGTAAGTGCTGGGAGTTCAACCTGACTTCAGCTTTTGAAGCTCTAAATTTTTAGTACTTATTTCCACCAATATGCAGCCTATAGCTGCCTGTACACATGGAAGTAAATAAATTATTGACAGGAGAGAGCAGGTTCAGACATGCAGCTTTGCTTTACAGAATGGCAGAGGTTGCAGTGTCCCTTGCTTTGCTGATCTCTGCTCCTGCACAGGTTCAGGGGTTACTGTGAACGAGCCTACATGATCCTGCGGCGCCACGGGCTCCTCTTCCTGCACCTCTTTGCACTGATGAAAGCTGCTGGGCTGCCAGAGCTCAGCTGCTCCAAAGACATCCAGTACCTCAAGGTAAGAGGCAGAGCCCAGCTCAGGGCTTAAAACTGGACACTGGATTTTGTGGCTGGGTGAGGAGGAGGAGTTCAGTGTGCAAGGCCAGATTCTTAGAACCAAATGAGCTCCAGGAACTGGGAGTGGATGTCCAGTGCCCATGTGCAGAACATCAGAAATCTCTTCAGGTTCTTCACCACAAAGGCAGCAGGTGCCAGGAAGGAGGAACAGCCCTGGGCTCTCATTTCCTAGTTTGCCTCCTGAATAACCACCCATCCCTGGCAGCTGCAGAACACTTTGTACAAGAGCAATACAGAATCTGCTCTTTCCCTGCACCAACAGGAGCAGAGGGTGCAAGTGTTTATCAGAGAAAAACCTCCTGGCAACTACAGGAACAATTAAAAACAATTGATGGCACCTCCATTCCTCCTTTCAGTGGAGTAATTTCTTATGAATATTTATATATATATATATATAGATAATATATAGATCTATATATATAAAATACTATATATAATATTTCTTATGAATCTTACTGGCTGAGCAGGACCCTGTTCAGTTGTGCACTGATTTGTGCCTCTTGCCTGCAGGACTCCCTGGCCCTTGGGAAAACGGATGAGGAGGCACTGAAGCACTTCAGACTGAAGTTTAATGAAGCCCTGCGGGAGAGCTGGAAAACCAAAGTGAACTGGCTGGCACACAACGTGTCCAAAGACAACAGGCAGTAGAGCAGGAGCCTGGCCCTGCTCAGGAGAATGGAACAGCCCCAGCCCAGCACTGACACGTTCCCAAAGACTGAAGAATGGTGCAGTGTGGAAGATCCCCCACCTGCTTCCCAGAGAGCAGACATTGCTGCATGACTGCAGAACTGCTGGCCTGTGCTCAGCCACAGCTCTGTGGCTGCTGCACATCTCTGGGGGACAAGGGAGAGATGTGAGGCAATAAAACTACTGCATACAGGAAAGGTAGGTAGAGGTGCTGTACCCTTGAGAACTCCTTGAGCTTCAAATACAGGTTTCAGTGGAGGAGTTGAGGCAGTTCTAACATCCCTCCAGTGTGCTAATGTCTGTATTTCTATTTTCTTGAAAATTCAGCTGAGCAGAGATCCCCCTATGCCTGTAGCCCATCTTCTAGGTCAGCACTAGGACAGCTTAGAGGCATTAACTCCAGCATGTGGTCACTCCTCCTGCCCTGTGTCAGTGTCCACTGAGGTGGGTCAGCTCAAAGCACACCAAAGCTGACTTGCACAAATGGTTTTACTCTGCCTTGAGATGGGATAGAAACATCCACAGTCATAATGTTTTCTGTCTGCTCCAGAGGCCAAAGTGTTCTGAAACTGAGCTGGAACTCAGCTACTGCTGTCTAGAACTGATGGCACAAGAGCAGCTTTGGGGTGGCCACTGGACCAGGTACTTTGCTTTCCAAAGTTAGGCTTTAGCTGAGCCTCAAGAAATCCCTGCATTTATTTTGGTTTCAAACCTGAAAACGCTAAGATTGCATTTTCAAATTAAAGTACTTACTGCTTCTTTTCATAAAAGATGTTAAGCTGTGAGGTCTGTTCTGGTTTGGATCTGTTCATACAAACCCTGTTGCTTCTCAAATACCTGTGGTAGAAGCAGCAGTTCTGGCATAGAAGACACCTCATTTTAATTTAATCGAACCTGGGAGAGCCCCTTTTCCTACACCTTTACATGATACTGTGACTGAAGCACTCAGGCTCTAACAGCTGCTCTGGTACTAGAGGGAAATACTGCAGGATTTCGAGCTCTGTGCAGGCTGCTCACTGAGAAACAGTCCTGTGCCTCTGCTCCATTTTAGAGAGTAAAGATTGCTATTTCCTTGCTTATTAAACTAATTTACAGAGCATAAAGTATGCCAAAAAAAATCTTGGGCCCTGTGCAAGGTGAGATGCACTGAAACCACAGCCCCAGTCAGGTTCTTGTGGAACGGAAGACACTACAATTCCAGAGCTGCAAAAGCAATTCTTGCAGTGCCAGAGCCTGGTGTTGATTCAGGGTGCTGCAGCACTGGGACCCTGCTCTCCTCAGTCCCTCCCAGGGCTCACAGCAGAAGGGTCAGGCCCTCCCAGGTTTCAGAGCAGTGGCTCCTGTCCTGGCCCTCACTCTGACAAGTGCAATAACACAAAGGTGTGTCAGGATCAACTGCAAGAACGGAGCATTTTACAGAGTTTAGTCTGGAAATCTTGACTTACCTACAAGCAGTAAAAATTCAGTGAGTCACCATGTGGACCTTCTTCCTTGTGCACCCTGGGAGAGGACCTTGGGTAAATCTCTGACAGCTCTGTTGGGTCAGCAAAGAGCCTTTGACTCCAAATTCACAAAGCAGCAGCTCACCTGATGGTTTTCAGCAAGCTGAACTGTACTAAAGATTGAAACTTATATAATTTTCAAAAATGTTCCATTTCATTACAAGTGGCTTCTCATTTTTATAAATATGCTCAGAATGATAGACCTATTTCTATTTATTTAGAGATGTTTCTGTCATTATTTTTTTTTATCTCTGTACAAACTGATTGTGCTTATTCTGTTGCCTTTGAAAAAGAAGTATTTTTTTAAGCCAAACCGTGGTTCTGCAAGAAGAGAATGTTTACATGTGTAGCTTTTCAGTTGCTTTAGGTACATGTTTTGTAAATAAGAAAATAAAAGATATTGACAAATTGTACACAAATGCTGCTGTGCTTGAGAGCAATGACCAAAAAACTGCCCTACTCCCCCAGCAGAGGAAAATTAACAGTTTATATAACTGGATTATACTTTGTTTCACTCAGTAAAATAAAAATGCAAACAACCTTTAGAACCAGAAATTTATTGTAGCTTATAGACTTTCCAAACTGACCTGTTACCAATATACACATCTGAAAAGTTATACCCACAGTGGCTACAAACTGCATCAGGACATTACAACCCCCAGTATTACCATTAAGTCATGATCAGTTTTGGTCTAAAATACAGCAGCTACAGCAACAGTATATGGAAGGATAAGTCTTCTACACATTAACACAGGACAACTGTCAGACATAAGTTAAAAGTTTCCCAGTTTACTTAAAACTAGCAGTTAATTACCACATAAGTAGTCAAAACCATTTTCCCATTTTAGAAATCTAAAATTTTACATTAAAAAAAAAAAACCAAAACAACCCCAAAAAACCAGTAAGCTCTGGTGTGGGTTCCTGCCCTGCTGCCAGGTCCATCTCTATTGTAAAGGCACTCCTCAGTCAGGCTCCTGGGAGGTGAGAGTGGGGCTGCTCTGACCTGCAGCTGTACAAGCACAGGGCTGAGCCTCAGCCCTGATCTTTTATCCCTCTCTGTGCCCCTCCCTGCCCTGCCCTGCCCTGCCCTGCCTGTGACTCTGGGCTCTGCCCCCACACCCACGAGCAGACTCTTACCGTGCTCAGGAGGGAGTGCAGTCCCAGGCTCCTGTTACAGGCAGCACAAGTCACTCTTTAATCCACCTCCACAGAGACCAAGCAGAAATTCATTATTCACGACTCTGCATCAGACCAAATAAAGTTAAACAACCCTGCCTGACAGAAAAAACAGCCCCCCCCCCCCCCATGTGTACCTTCCAACTACTGTCCTCTGCAATCCCAAATTGGAACTGGGATCAGAACAACCCAAATCACATGAATTAACATGATTCCCAAGGGTTTCTGGTTGGATAATTTATGCTACAGTTTCTCACCAGCAGGAAAACACAATTACTAAGTGTAAACAAAGGCTTAAAACACCGACAATCTGAATTACTGTACAAGGGGCTGCAGGGGAGGAGCAGGAGTGTTCAGTGGTATCAGCTACACCCCAAACCCTCCCACTTCCAAATTAGAAAAAAATGAACAACAAAAAAACCCCAAATCCCTGTCCATGTAGACTGGTAGCCCAGGTGCTCAGGTGTCAGAGCTCCCAGCTTGAACCAATCCCCTACACCCAAACCTGGCTGCAGAGTGCCCAGCCCACTCTGGACTCCAGGCACCCTCCCTGGAACCACCACACAGATCTGCCCACCAGACATGTAGTGTTATTTCCCCAATAACTTAAAAGCCTTTATGGCAAGCCTTAATTGGAGAAAAAAATAAAATAAAAAACAAACTGTAGTGCACAGGGGAGCTGAACCTCTGCAGAGGCTCCTAAAGCCTTTACAACTTCTCACAAGCTTGTCTGTTCCCTCTGCAAAAAAAAGGAGATGAAAGAAAAGAAAGGAGTTCAAGGAGAGTGGGGCATGAGCACACATGGCAGTCAAGGCCAAGACAGAGTTACTGAACATCTACACTAAGAACTGTGCCCGTGCTCCTGCTGCAGTAGGATGAGACTTGGAATAGTTCATGCTGCATGATTTTTTTACTTTAGCATGTTTTAAACCCCAATCCCTGTTTTCACTACCACAAATGACATAATTACATAATTCCAATATATTTACAAAATATTAAAAAGTCTTGTTAATCTTCTAAATATTAACCTCATTCTGCCACTTTACACATGCACTAATTCGGGGAAAAAAAAATTAAAAGAAATCAACAGGCTGAAATGAGCAGCTTTACCCTTTGTCAACAAGCAATCTTTGCATCTTTTAGAAAGAGAAAAAGGAACAAAGCCAAGTTTGTTTCACTGAGCAAAAAAAAAAACAACAGTTCAGAAATTCATGTGCAATGGCTACAGAGCTGTAGAGTCACTTAGCTGAGATGACATGAAGAAAAAAGTGCAAGGTGGTTCCTCACAGAGCGTAAAAAAATCCAGTCACTGAGGCATGGCTGAAGGAAGAGGTGCTAACTACAACCCTAAACATCAGGAACTAGCTGACAGAACACAAACACAGCTTGTGTGGGGGTCAATCTACTGGCCAGAATGAATTTTTTGTTTTAAACACCATGAATCCTTGGTACCAATGGAGTGTTACAGTGGAGTCTTCTAGAGCGGGAACAGAAAGACAAAGGGAGCAGCTGGAATCAATAACTGAGGGTAGAGTCATCCCATTCCAGCTGCTGCTGTCTGTTAACATTCTGTTGGTCCTCCTCCTGCTCTCCCTCTTCCTCCTCACTGCTTTCAGACTCTGCACTAGTGATGTCATCTTCTTCTCCATCTTCACTTTCTTCTTCCTCCTCCTCCTCCTCCTCTTCACTGCTGTGTTGATCCTCGTAAGTCTGTTCAGACAAAAATGAGCTGTCATTACCATACTGGCCAAAATTCTTTTTGTTCTTTATTCAAGGCACTATATTGAGGAAGAGCTATTGCAGATTCCTTGCTGGATCTGTGCCACTGCTGTCAATCCTGGCACTCTACACAACGTGGCTCTGAAGGGTGATGCAGTATTGCAAATTCCTCTGGAAAAGGATCTTACAATAGCACACAGAGCATGAAGGTCACACGTCCTTCTTGCTCCCAATTTTCTAAAAATTCAATTGCCAGCCACAGGAGAAAGGAAACATCATAAACACAGATGTTTTGACAATAAATTCCTGCAAGTTTAGACAAAAGCAGGCTGTGTTTAAGGCACTGTGCACATGATGAACACTAGTGCTGGACACTGCCTGTAAAATCCCATGAAACTCCAACCCCTGCAAGATTCCCAACAACTGCTCTTGGCATTTGGCACATTGGTTCTGAACTCCCAGCTCCAGCCTCTCTCTGCCTGTGCTCAGGCTGGTTCCAATCCCCCCCAGTGCAGCAGGAGAAGGGCAGCAGCTGCCCAGGGTTACCTCCATGGGGTTCACAGTGATGGTCAAGGCAGAGTCATCCCAGTCCATCTCGTTCTCCTTGCCCGTGTCCTGGTCCCTCATGGTTCTCTGGTGCGCGGCGCGGATCCGGAACACGCCCAGGATGATCATGAACACCAGGAAGCTGACACACACCACGATCACCACCGTGGCTGTGCTGGGGACAACTGCCACACAAAACACAACATTGGTACCCTACACTGTGCTAACTGCTCCCCAGCACCTGCCAGGGGAAATAGCTTTACAGGTGTTTCATGTGTGTTACTGTACTTCACATATTTCACACTAAGGCACTTTGTCTACAGCCACTTGAAAAGTCAGTAGGAAAGTAAAAACAGGACCTCACTTCCTTAAATGTAATTACATCAATCTGAAGGACTGAAAACACAAGGAAAGCACATTCCACCACACACAGACTCTCTCTGAATTGCCTATTTTTCTTCCTCACATCCTACACCCGTGCCAAATTAATGTAATTAAAACAAGAAAGGGCAGATACCATGACTCATCAAAGGAATAGCACTGCAATTCTTTCCTCCTGCCATTCAGAAGAAATTCTGTCCCAGTTCCTCACTTTCTGGAGGTCTTGCAGTCTCCTCCCCTTTTCCAACACACACACACCAACAGAAAGCTCTTCTGCTGGCAGGAGAGGGAATTTCACTGGGTTCTGAAAACTCCCTCCTCCCTGCCTGGGCAACAGCAGAACAAGACTGAGCAGCTGCCTGGTTTATTAGTCCAGCACACTGGTTTAAACTCTGGGAAAAGAACTCTGCAACACCACAAAAAAACAGCTCAACTTCAATGGCTGAGAATCCTGACCTGAAAAGGGATGAGGGTTTGCCAAGTTGTGACCAGAGAGATCAACAAAGGAATGATGCACTGGGTGGATGAACTGTGGCTGGGCAGCAATGTGATTGGCATGTTCCACTGGGCTGGCTGTGTGGATAACATTGACCTAGAGACAAACACAAAGTGTTAAACTCCAGAAACCCAACAGTTTAATTCTGAAGAGATAAAAATAAAGAGAAAAAAATTAAAATTTTAGTGCCTTTAATGCTGTTTTCTGCTATACTTCCATCCATTTAATGTCAGCATACTAAATAATAATTAACCTGTGTACCCTGCTGCAGAGGAAATGCAATTTTA